ATAATTAAGCTCCAACGGATCAACAAATGCATTGCAGGGTCAAAATGTATGAAGAACATGCTATCAGAAAAGATGAAACATAAACCAGTTTCTGTAAAGGAATTCATCACAGAATTTTGCATGTTTAGGTTTCAACTTGCATATAGGAACGTTCCTCTGATTTTTTAGCAATTTAAGTTACTAGAAGGTTTGTTCTGTTCGATCTGGTGATGGAATTAGTCGAACATAATAAGGTTGATTCGACTTTTTAAAAGATGTTGTGATGTTTCCATGTGGAGTCGCCCAATTTTGTCAAATCAAGCATTCAAACTATTGAACCCGAGCAAGCGAATCAAAAAGCATACCACGCCTTTATACGCCTTATTTTCATATTTGTTTAGAGGATTAAAGATCGTCGTTTTGGGAAAATACACATTTCTTCCAATAAGCCTTTCTTCTCACCTCTCCCACCCTCTCTTTATATTATTTATTCTATCAGCCCTGGCACTTCACATCGGTCTCCATACCCATAGGCATGTTGTTAGGTAATACGGTAAATATTGGACATTAGAATCTTCGTTATTTACACCCTTCACCCCTCAGAGTGTTTCCTACGCGTATTGCATTGAAGAGAATTCTTCGAAGAGAAGCGTTTGAAGAAGCTGATAAATAATTTGGAATCCTTTCAATTCTCTACATTTACAAATACTGCGCTTTGTATTGTCTGAGTCCTTGGGATTTCTTCGATGCTCCTTTTCCTCCAGCACCCCTTCATCGGAACGCAAACATACCGGAATGGGTGGGGGCAGACCACGGACTGGTCCCTATACCTACAGGGGCGGCGGAGCGTCTTTCAGAGTGGGGCTTAACCAACAAAAAGGGCACTTTCTAGAAAAAAGGGGGCACCTACAAAGGGTTACCTCAAAGCGAAAAACACAACATTTAGACATTGAAATATACCCCTATATTATATCAGGTATGAATGATCTTCAACATATTCTCTTTACGTGATCCAATATACTGCTTCAGCACCATACTTTGCAGTAGTGTGTGATTGTCTAATGATTTATTTGCGAGAGAGCGAAGCAAGCAAACACAGTCTTAAGGTTTGTGAGGTCGCAATTCAATCTATTAGATCTTATCGTTTTAATTGAATTACCAATTTTAATGGGGTTTTAAGCACAATCTCAGAATGAAAGAATAAATAAGACCTTTACATTACTCAATGAGATACTTGTAGGTCTATTATAGATGCAAGTGAGCTTAGCAAGCAAGTTCGAGAAAATCCGAGAAAAATTGCTCTAGGCCGTAAACAATGTTAAAGATAAACTTTAGTACTGGTAATGCGATTGCATTGTGAAAGAAAAGGTGAGGAAAGGATCAGAAACAGTTGATCATGTAGCATGTAAGTATTAGTGTGCACTGCAAGGTTCTGGAGTCATCAAAATCATAATAAATTTGACCGAGTCTTGGTAAAGTAACAAGCACTCACATAGAAAGCTATATATGGGACAACACACATGGTGTCGGGGCTAGTACTACCTTGATTTCCTTGTCTTTCTATGCTCATTACTCAGCCAGTATACATTTTCTTCCAAAATTGTTTGGCACATGTCATTTATTTGTAATCTTGAACATTCAGTGTAAGTTTCGTTTGATTCTGTGAGAATTTTTTTTTTTTTTTACCAGTATTGGAGTTTATCTTTAAGGAGGTTACGAGGCCCTAGATATGGCTCTTTCATTTGACGGCAAAAGCTCACACTTTGTAAGCGAAAATCAGAAATTTAGGTTAAAAGGGGCACTTACCATAGGGCAGTTTTATAGAAAGGAAAAGGGACACTTGTCAAAAGTAACAGATTTGAATAGGGGAACTTATCAGAGATGGAAAAAGGGCACTTATGAGAAGGGGAAAGGGGCACGTACTAGAAAGAAAAGTGGAACTTATCTGAAGTAAAAGGGGCACTTTGGGGTACTTGAATAGTGTGTGTGTGTGTGTGTGTGTGTGTGTGTGTGGGAGGGGCATTGTGACCCCTTGCCCCCTCCCCCAGGAGTGCCTATCATCCATATTTGTGTACCCTAAAGCTGTTAAGAACTGATCATAACACGTTGATAATTTGCTTGGTCATCTGATAATACTAATCAAACTGACATCAACCCATCCTTCAACCTCAAGCAAAGAAATATATATATACCAACGTCTATATACCACCTCTCAATTACAAACGACAAACAACAGACATCCAACCTGCATTTTAATCTTGTTCTGATTTTCATGTCATTTTCAGGCCTTTAGAAATCGTGCTTTCCCCTGTCGTTGCTGTGTGTTTTTCATTTGTTCCACTCGCGTGAGATAATATTGACTCTATCGGTCGGTATGAGGAGACGCCAAATTTGTTTAGGCGTTACGCGTCGAGCGCATCCCATTTAGTGCTAGCATGTTAACCTTCAACATTAACCACTGCTGTGCTCTACCGTGAAAGCATATCATACTTTTAACCCATTTTATGGAAAATGTCCACATTACTGATCATTCTTAATACCTTTGTTCATGAAAAGAAGAAGATACAACAAAATAAAGTAACCTTGTATCATTAATTGTCATTTAACGCCAGTGACTTTAAACGAATATATAGTTTTACAATTTACGAATTGACAACACATGGGCGCATTTTAAACACCTGTTCCCTGATTTCCTTTTTCTTTTTCCGAGGAGGGGGAGGGGTGCTTGGGCAGGTGCAATATTACTTACTTTTCGAATATTAAATTTTTTTAAATTAGCAGCATGGGTAAATGGTAGCAGTACGAAGGAAATATACATGTGCCAGTCTGAATAGGAAAATTTGATTACTTGCATTAGAATATCTGATGAGTCAATCTCATAAAATTAAAACAAATTAAGCATATGGCATTGGAATTTGGTTGTTTAACTTAATTTGCTTTGACAACAGTTAGTATCCAGGAAACAGATGATGTTTAGAAAACCATAATAATCATATTTTGTTGAAAGAACTCATAATGAAGGATTGTAAAACAACTCACTGAGTGAAAGAGGTATAAGATAGGGAGAGGGAGGGGAGAGAGAGAGAGAAAGAGGAGGAGGAGGAGGAGAGAGAGAGAGATAGAGAGAGAGGGGGGAGGGGATTCTCTCTGTCTCTCTTTCTTTCTTCGCCCTGCCCTGTCTCTCTCTTTCTTTCGTCGCCCTTCCCCGTCTCTCTCTCTCTCTCTCTCTCTCTCTCTCTCTCTCTCTTTTCACTATCTCTCACAGGCTGTACATTGTATATTGGCCCATCACCCCCCCCCCCCCCACCTCATCGGTCCCTCTGTCGTCACGGACTTTCGATGTATTTTCACTGCCGGAATAATGAAAATTATCATTGTGATTAATGTGTATGTATACACAAAGAGGATGAATATTTATCTTCCGATCCACCATTTCTACCTTTATCCACATTGGCCAGTGGAGATGGAGAAGAAAGAAAAAAAAAAGGGGGGGGGGGTCTGTTAGTTGTCAGGGGCTTGTAATACCCCTACTTTAATACCACATCGGAAATCATCTTGGGCATGTAAGGGAGATAAGGGGGGGGGGTACGGTCGGATGGATGAATGCAGCTCACGTTTCTACTGTTATTGGCACTTCATGATAAATCGAAAGCATCGTCAGATTGTTATTTGTACAGGATGTTTCATTGCCATGAATGTTTGCCTAGATCCACCGGTCCATGCCCTCCCTACACGGATGATAGCAAATAGCAAATAATGAGACTTCTCGCCTCATTTCATTCAAAACAGACGATAATGAGTCTGTGATATTGATTTAGAATTACATGTTCAGCGTGTTGTGCACTGTTCTCCTTGTTGAGATATATTGTGCTGTTTGTGCCGATCACGGCCATTTCTCAGAAAGTTCATTAATATTCAATCTTTTTATAATCACTTCATCATTCTATCTTTTAACCCGTATTACATATTGTTTATTGTCATAAAATTTGTTATCATGTCATGTTGTTTTTCCTTTTCAGAATAATAGCCTCTCGTACACATTTGGGTTATATAAACACTAATTAGCGCCGTGCGGTAGATTATCAGAAGGGTTATTAGTATGCGTTTAAACACTGTGCTGTTCTGTGCGTTATACTGTAGCTATAACTTTTAGGGAATCTCATCAAAACTTATCATGAACAATTATGATTTTAACTTTAAGTCTATAAAGTGGCATCCACGGCGTTCATCATGGCATAAAACTGCCAAACCCCCCGTTGGTGTTTGTTGTTGTTTTGTTCTGTTATCACTTCAACAAATAACATAGTTATGTGCAAACTTGTTGGGCAAACTTAATGGTAGGGCCCTATGCCGAGGGTCTCTATTAATACTTTGTTTACAAGAGGGTTCACAATGACGCTCAATCGATTCCTTTCTTTCTTTCTCAATACATTGACTGAAGTAAAGAAAGGGCACGCTGTGTTTCTCTCATCCTGTGGTTGTGTTTCAGGGTCTGTTTCTTTACAAAGAGAAGAACTACGATTGATATCTATTGTTACGAAGACACGTCCAACCTATGACGGGTAAACAGAACGCCCTCTTGTCTCGAGATCTTTGGGTTCATAGTCGCCTGCCAAGGCTTGTCTGGTATGGCTGCCACCAGCTGCAAACGAGTCGGGGGATTCACTGAAAAATTAGATCATGTCTATATGTACTCAGGCTCATCAATGTTTCTTTCCCCTTGATAATTTAACATGAACATCCATGCTAAATGCGTGTTTGAATCGCGTATTATGGTACACTGTTTCTTTATGTGTAATCTTTGGACATTCCCACGCATTAGGTTTTGTGTTGGAAATAATGAGGTCACATTGAGCATATTGCTCGAACCATATATCTTACATCTGACTAATAAAATATAATTACTCACAATGAGTTGATGCGATCGAATTTTTCGGCAATCGGGAAAGAAGCATTCATGATTATTCGTGAATTGGTTGATTGCTTGAAACACGGGATAAAATATTCATTGGTACACGATATAAAATGTATGTCTTCACAATTGCTTTAATTCACAATTCACTTTAAAACATTTTACAAATATATTTGGTTATAACAATAAAACACACATTTTTCTCTCGCATATAAACATCTTATGTTACATAGCAAAAATAACATCAACAGAAGTATCGTTTACTAACTTAACTTTGGCATGTTTATCTATCAAAATAACACATACAAATGTAAGTATGTCCTATTAAAGCAGGTAATGTGTATGTTATTGGAGTTAAATCATTGAGCAACCATTTCCTCGACTAGACACAATTTATCAGTGACACATCAAGGATACTTTATCGATTTTGATGAACAAAGGCATAGTTTGATGTTTGTAAGACATACTGCATGATACATGTATGCAATGGTTGATTAACCACAAACTGTGATATCCATCTTTCACTTCCTATCATGGTTCATAGACATTAACAAAAAACAGTTTGTACTCCTGTCTTTCAGCCATATGCATGTGTATTGATAGCTTCATGATTCTTGTGAATATCTCACATCTTACTTTAATCAGGAAAATATTGATAATGATACAAGCCGTTCAGGTTATCAGAGGCAACAATGGCGTTCAGCTTACGCCAAACGACTATAACCAGGTTTACTCTCGCCTACACGTATAATACAACTTTGACTATGGACCACCTACTTATTTTATATCACTGCAAAGATTGTGAGTTTAGATAAATATAGTTCATTACACAGGACATAAAAAACATTGATATTTCAATGTAGTTTGTATCTGTCATTTACCATGATGCTGTGACAAATAAATAGATTACGGCTTTTACTGAAACATGCGATTTATTGTTTGTTTGTATAGCTGTACGTTTAGACTCTATACACCTTAATGCCGACTGCCTAAATATAAATAGCTCGAATTTGTCACAAAAACAACAGTCAATGATATTCAGATTTTAAGTCATCTCTCAACGCACTTTGGACATTAGCTTCAATTCTTAAAAAACGAATTGAATTCATTTTTAGGCATAAAGACAATTAATAATAAGGTACGACTCGTAATAATAAGCAACGGACATCCACAGAAAAATGTTATATTGGCCTAATTATAACAACTATTTAAAAATGAATAATATATGCAATTCCGTCAAATGGAACGTTAAATTTACGTTGTCACTACCTGTCAAAGAACTTATTCATTAATTTGCCTAAAGACATTGAATTCTTAGTTTTTGTTTTCCATTAATGTTACACCGCAACGCAAATGTATGAATGAATATTAAAATTAAATAAAATTGGAAAGTTGATATCTGCATCAGAATTTGCTGTTATAAACCGATGAATACATGCATAACATTACTGTGTTGATTATCAGTTAAAACCCAATGGTCTGGGAAAATATAAGCAGGACATTTTCATAACCAGTGATGTTAAATGTACAACAAATTGTTTAGGTTTGGAAGAATAATGCACTGTTAAATACGTAAGTTACTCAGTAATTTCTCTGAAATCTTAATGAAATTCCTAATACTCAATTTACATACAGTGAAATCATTGCTCTTCAAATGCATCAAATATATTCATGTGTAGAACTGTTCGACGCCGTTTGCGGCGATCTGAAACTTTCCTATTAGGCTTACGAAAAAATATTTGGTATTTCCAAAATTAAACAACCACATGTATAAGAAAACTACAAAAAAGTAAAGTATTCATAAAACATGGCACCTTTCGTGCTTTAAATCTTCGCGATGATGAAGTTTCCTCCGCAGAAGTTTTCACGTTTTCAAGTCTTATGCATTAATAAATCATTGATTTAAAAATGGATTATACGTTCCAATCAAGCCAGTATTCATTTATTCTATTTTGACTGCATATTAGCGATGTTTCTTTGTAACAGTTCACATAACACATCATTCGTAGTTCAAATCCCATGGCGTAATCCAATTAACATCAAGAAACCAAAGATTTATGATAGAATAATCCAAAACTTAGTCACTGTCACACTTCTTTCGGTTTGCAATTAACCTTTACTTTTTCATGCACACTTCTTTAACTTGCGTATTTCTATAAACTCATGCTTCATGTATAAAGTCCTCGTCTTCTGCAAATCGTACCGATTTCCGTACCGATTTCCTGTCCTTTTTCGGCTTTTTCTGGGCATCGCACGACATTGACGAGGTGGTCGTTGACGGCGGTGACCGTCTCCTAACTCCCGATGGCTCATCCTCCTTTCTTGGAGGACTAGGTTTGACTGGAGATGGCGACACTGGTGATGTCTTTGGTGAAGTAGGAGATGGAGTGCTCCTGCGTTCATTGGTACTAGGTGTGTCAGGCGGGAAATTGAAAGATTTTACAGGGGGAGAGGGGGATGGGGATTTGCTACTCGAAATAACCTTACTAGGACTGTTCTGTTTTCTTGGTGAGATGTTACCATGAATGACGGATGTCTGAGAAGGCGGTGAAGGCGCTTTAGCCTTGGAAGAATTTGTGCGCTGTCTCGGGGAAGGGGGTTTAGTTGGAATGTTCGTAAGGGTAGGGGAAGGTGATTTCCCTTCTTTCGATAGATAGCCAGGAGTATCAGGAGGACTCATCGTCGTGATCATTTCTTGAGGTGACGTTTCCCCGGAGCGCTGATCATGCCTAAAAGCGACATCATTCTCATCACCGCTGCTAGTACGACCACCGCGAGGAGAGGCCGCTTTACGAGGCGACTCTGGAGGAGAATTCAAGTCCGGATTAAACGCTACGGTTACCTCGAGCTCTCGTGGACTTGTGCTTTGTGTCATGTCGTCATCGCTTAAGATACCTTCCATAAGATCATTCTCTTTATCGGAGCTACTCGTCCCGATTCCTTTCGAAACACTATTCCCGTTCGACACATCACTATCACCACCACCACCAAGGTCCCTCTTTGCACGATGTGCAATGATGTCAGCCACTGCTCTGTTACTGTTACCAAAGTCATTCTCTTTTGAGTCTGTTTCACCAACGTTTAGGATCACACTAAGTGTTGAAACAGGTGGTCTCTTTTTTCTCCTGGCATGAATCTGGTGCTCGGACGTACCTTTTTCTTTCAGAATGTGCACCGTTGTTGGTCTCTTGCTTTTCTGAGCCGCCCCGAACGGATCGTCTTTGGAGGAAAGCCTCTGGAAAGACTTCACCAGGTACAGCGTTAGGTTCTTGGCCATGGCTGAAGATTCGCAGAAGACAGCATGGCAATCCCAATAGTGGTCCATAGCTGGGTTCTCGTTTCGTGAAACGAAGCAGAAGATCTTGTTGTGGTAAGGATCAGCTGCGCCGAAGGAGAGCTTGTTGATGGGAAAGAAAACATTTCCGAAAGGCCCCTCGGCGACGAAGTACTGTGAGTCGGCGAACATGGTACTAACTCCTGCATCCAGAGGTTCCACTTTGATACCATTACTCACCACTTCAATCTCCATCTTCCTCACAGTTTTCGATTTTAGAGATTTGTATTTCCTGTACATGTCATCCACTGGTTTGAGTGTATTATCCAGGCCCACTTTACCCCTTAACTCTTCGTGTCCTAGATAAGACACCGTGTAACGGGACTGAGATGACACTGGTTCGAAACTCTGGCTCCGTCTCTTCCAAAACGCCATTTCACCACGAATTCAAACACTTTCACAAAATGTGTATAAATCCTTGCTTACTGAGAGTTGCGTGTTAACAAGTGTTTATAAAACCACGTTATTCCAGTTTCTTAGTCATCGCATCACCAGTATAACATCCTTATCCAACAAGAGAAAAGACACCGAATGGAAACAAGAACTAAAGGTTTATGTTCAGAAACGTTTCAGTGTGTGTGTGTGGGTTAGCTTTCTGTATTGTGAGATTTAACACAGAATACACTATAGGCTCTGCTTTGACGTTTGATTTCTAAAGGGAGCATAACCCGCGCCTCGATAAGTCCATTGTCACCGACTGATGAAATGCAAAGTGGAGGTACGCCAAATCGATGGGCAGCTATGCATGCGAAAGGCGAGGTAGACAGTGAAAGCGGGAGGTTCGTCACGGGGGTAAAGTGTTGCCGAGTTGCGCACCAAATAAACTTTACTAATACGTTTCTATTACTCAAAAGTCAAGATTGCAATCAACATGTTAACAATTACCCTTGTTTCAAGAATCTTAATAATACTTTCTAGCTTGTGTCTATCCAATTTCACAACCACGCTGTTATTTTTACGAATCTGTACGTGGTAGTTACGCGTCCTCAAATCGGCAATTAGGTAGAAGTCTGTTGAAGAAACAGTGTCAATACTTGCTCGTCGTCTGAGCCCATTGGCATACAGGTTTTGTATTGAGTGGCGTAATGTAGCCTATTGTTCAATACGAGGTATTGTTAATGAGAGATCGAACTTAGAAGTGTCAAGGGTAGATTCAGACCATACCGACCACGCTGGCATGACGACGAGCTAGATCTGAAGAAAAAAAATGGTGATATCAAGGAGCTGATCCCATATGCAATTTGAAAAAAAGGAGTAGAGAACGTTTGGCCGGGAAACCCCTCTTTAATTGCGTAGCGGCTTCATTCGATTGCAGAATGTTATATTGCCATTTTTTATCAGTTTAATTATATTGTGAATTTGCGATTTATTTTTTATTACAAAACTTCTTTCACACGGGTACATTACTATTTTGTTTTACAATACATAGGTATAATATTTATTACAAATAAGCAAACAATGATTTGTTAGTTTTATTTGTATTGTATACATTTATAATTCTTTTTCGGTGTATGAATATTTCACTTGACTATGACATAATAAACAAGCAAATAAATAAGGAAATGTCGTGAGCAGGGTAATTTATTTCATAAATATGCATATTTTGACCGATATTCTTTAAAAAATAAATACTTACATTGAATTGATTAAATTGATATATATATATATATATATATATATATATATATATATATATACATTTACATGCCTTTGAATTGATCAGTAACAATCTCTTAAAAACATTTCAATATTGGTCTGAAATAAAACATGCATGATTTCAATTGAATAATACAACATATCAATGCTAACAGCATTATACAGCTTGTGGATAATATCCCATACAAACAATGATAAATTTTAATACTGAAAAGGATCACTAGCACTGAAACATATTCTTGACATACGTCCCTATATTGTACATGTTGTAAGTATTCTTCCTTCCCCGTAGTACAATGTTATTTGTCATTATCACGATTACCGTACTAAAAATACATCTTAAACAAACAACCTACAAAATATTCACATGATTATGATAATGATTATCTTTCATGTCGTTAGTGGTTGTCACTCTGTTGATTTTCTTTATCATGAGCTATGTTCAGAGTACAGTTTCCAAACACACATCTGCGAAGAATTTTTTTTATCACACCCGGTATTCAGACAATGAGAAATGACATTTATTTTCTGTCATAATCTATCTACAGATCAATATTCCCTGTCTATAAATGTGTCAGCATAGCAACGTTGCCAGGGTTGGGGTGGCTAAAACCGTCATAAAATACGACGAAAACAGCTGCTCTGTGTGGTTGTCTCAGCAACTAACGTACGTTAATGAGCGCATGCTACGATGAATTTCATTAATATTAGAAAATCATGTACAAGAACGTATGTCAACGATGTGGTGTTTATTTTTTATTTCGAGGAGATTTTAAAGGGCTATGAAATGATAACTATGTCAGTGGAAAGGGCACATGTTTAAAAAAATCTGTTTGTGAGCTTTCCTGTTCAAATTACCTTTTTAATCATAATTCAATAATTGCAGGATAGTATTCAAATGATTTCATACAAGTTATATACAATTGAAAGGCGAGTAATGATAATATTTATATAATTTTGTTTGTCAAATAGGGCTTGTTATAGATGAATCTTATTTTGGTCGATGTTTTATCTCATGCCTTTTCTCTCGTGTTATCAAATTGATGTGATTTGTGTTTTCTACATGTAGAAGTTTTCAAGGGAAGCAGAGTGGCGCAGCGGAGGCGTGCTGGGCCCATAACCCAGAAGTCCGAGGATCGAAACCTCGCTCTGCTAATCATTTTTTGAAGAACTTTTTCTTATTGTCATACGCTTCTTTGATATATTATGTTAGGTTTCTCATACAGACGTTTTCAAGAGAAGCAGAGTGGCACAGCGGAAGCGTGCTGGGCCCATAACCCAGAGGTCCGAGGATCGAAACCTCGCTCTGCTAATCATTATTTGAAGAATTTTGTTCTTATTGTCATACGCTTCTTTGATATATTATGTTGGGTTTCTCATATAGATGCTTTCAAGAGAAGCAGAGTGGCGCAGCGGAAGCGTGCTGGGCCCATAACCCAGAGGTCCGAGGATCGAAACCTCGCTCTGCTAAACATTTTTTTTGAAGAACTTGTTCTTATTGTCATACCCTTCTTTGATATACAAGTGTAGTTGTTTTCAATTGTACGACTTTAAGTAGAATTGCTATATATTTTTGTTTTACTGTAAATTCACTTTTCATTTAATTCTGGACCCCAGAGAAGACCAGTTTTGTCACGTTAACAAATCTGAGGGGGTATCCAGCCATTCACTATATTCTTGATTTCTATATGCCTATTTACAAACAAAATATTTTTGTAGGGGGGGGGGTTGTTATATTGTGATTTGGAAAAGAAATACCGTTCTACATTGTACATTTTCACTGATCCATTAACCCCCCCCCCCCCCCGTGAAGCTCCTAAACGACCCAAACTCACCCATTCAGTGCTTCCATTTCAAAAGGTTTGCTGACCATGGGGTTGGTATGACATTCACCGCAATGCTTCGATACAGCCAGAGCCAATCGATAGACCCCTCTTCCCTTACACAATGAATAAACATCCTGCCCTTCTCTGACAAAGGGCGTTAGTGCCATTTTCCCCTTTTCATTTCATTTATTAATATTTCAAAAAGGCATCATAAGTAAATGTAAATTAGAAGATGAAACCTTTTCGAAGTACAGAGTCCCAGATTCTTGCGTGTTAATCAATCTAAAGATAACAAATCTAGTTTTCTTTCTGACAGACTATAGTCTTCCCTACCATAGTAAAGACATATGAAGCAGGCATATTCCTAATCATGCAGAATAGCTCAACATAGCCTTTTGTAAGGTTTTGCCTTATGTCAGGGCTAATACTTCTATTTTAAGATAATTATAGAAAAGTGAATGCGCAGCGCTATTTTGGCATTGCAAGGGATAACCATATTCATCTCATTAGTAGGGTTCGACCGTGCAGTTCACCCCTGTTGTTGATAATAGATTCATCATGCACACAGATCAATAATTTCTTTTGAATAATAATGGCGAGTGTCTTGGCAATGAATTACTCGTGTCCCTAAGTTCTCTTTGTTATCCTCCTACACGTCTCTACGAACAGTGTCAAGGTGGGCAGTCTGAACGAGTTGTCATTTTGTGTCCTACTTTTGTTTCGTGACCCTTCCATTGTGCTTGTTGAATATAGAATTGTTTACTGACCATTGGTAGAGAGATCACGCAATAAATCAAGAAATATAAAAAATTTGCATTTATGCTTATAAGCGGACATTCTTTATTTTCAATTCATCGTTTTGCACACACACACTCTCTCTCTCTCTCTCTCTCTCTCTCTCTCTCTCTCTCTCTCTCTCTCTCTCTCTCTCTCCCCTCTCTCAAGTTCGTGATTTCTCTTGTTACATGTTTAGTCGCATTATATACAATCAAGAGGCCTAGCCCTTAGGGTTATTTCTCATCTGAATATCCCATGTATAATTTCCAAGATGATAGTGAAAAGAAACCACGAAACAAACATCACACATATATTATATAATAATAATAATAATAATAATAGCCTAATAGTCCCCTCCAAATTTTATCAAACCGAAACGGAAATTGTTCGTGTAATATGATATTAATGATAACGATGTCTTCTGTCATGTCTACAGCGCCGATATCCGCCAGCGCAGCCGCCCATGTACCTTGCTCCTAAATTCACTAACACCATAGGTTGAATGTGTGGGTTGAATAGGATTTTACATTTATTATGATCAGAACAAAAGTGAATATGAGTCACAATTTTAAGCATTCAATAAAATGAGCTCATTGCAAACTACATTAAAAGAGGAAGTCTTAAGATATGAATAGAAAAAGGGATGGTTCCCTAAGCCTTAACAAACACTCAAGTCAAACACTATTTGTCAAAGTTTATGATATTACGATATGAATACACGATAACAATATTTTACAATAGACAGCGTCATACTTTTGATACATGAAGACCTTTGTCTTTGGACAAAAGAAGACTGTTTTGATATCAGGCGAATTGCCGCCCTGTGCAAATAATAGATTTGAGATAATCCTCCCCCTTGTATACTTCAGGGTCAAAATATCAGGTTTCGATAGATTATGATGGGTAATGGTGTAAGCATGTTTATCTACCTGATGATATAGTCCATTATTAAGTTATTATGAAGTTGAAAGAAATTAAAAAGGTTTTAAGACATATTCAAGTTCGCCCTCATTGCAGCCACAAACTACAATTTTATTTTATTCACATTTACATGTTTAATGAAAATTTATGTTTTATGAAATGTTGGACTCTCGAACGTATATAACTTCATAATTTACTTACCCATACCACTGATTTACCTCAATGCCTCTAATAATCATTCGTTTAGTTAATAAAATGAATTCAGTGTCAAATTTGGAGTGGACTATTAGATTATTATTATTATTATTATTATTATTATTAAATGTAGTTTTATCATACTGGAAAAAGGGAAAAGACGGAGTAACCCCCAATAAAAGTCTGAGTGAAGAAAAAGAAGAAAGAGCATGAGTGGGAGAAGAAGTTATTCTAGAAAAATGAAAACCGTGCATGGAAAATGAAAAGAAAACTGGCACCTTTTACTTCCTAAACAATCTTGACCAATTATTACGACGGTATAGCATTGTTGTTCTAAAATTGGTTTCCCTGGATACGGTTTGTTACACTTCTCAAGGTGACCTTGTTATATT